TCGTTGCCCACGTGGGCGTTGAAGTCCCCCAGGAGAACAACGGAGTCCCCGGTCGGTGCACTGTCTAGTACCCCTCCAAGGACTCCAAGAAGGCCGGGTACTCTGCACTGCTGTTCGGCCCGTAGGCCGACACCACAGTGAGAGACCTGTCCCCGACCCGAAGGCGCAGGACACCGACCTCTCGTTCACCGGGGTGAACTCCAACACACAGCGACTGAGCTGTGGGGCAATGAGCCACACCAGCCGCCGCCGCTCCCCGCGGCCAACGCCAGAGAAATGGAGAGTCAGCCCTCTCAAGGAGTTGGGTTCCAGAGCCCAAACTGTGCGTGGAGGGTGAGGCCGACTATATTCTAGTCGGTAAGCTCAACCTCCCGCACAAGCTCAGGCTCCTTTCCCCCAGCGAGGTGACATTCCATGTCCCAGAGCTATCTCCATGTCCGGAGATCCGGTCGCCGAGGCCCCCGCCGTCACTGCTGCCCAGATCTCTCTGCACCGGCCCCAAAACTACAACATGAGAACACCAAAACAACGCCTTCAAAATAAAACTAAACATGAGAACACCAAAACACACGCCTTCAAATAAAATAAAACATGAGAGCACAAAACACACGCCTTCAAAATAAAACTAAACACCCACAAATACTAAACATGAGAGCACCAAAACACACGCCTTCAAAATAAAACTAAACATGAGAGCACCAAAACACACGCCTTCAAAATAAAACTAAACATGAGAACACCAAAACACACGCCTTCAAAATAAAACTAAACATGAGAACACCAAAACACACGCCTTCAAAATAAAACTAAACATGAGAGCACCAAAACACACGCCTTCAAAATAAAACTAAACATGAGAACACCAAAACACACGCCTTCAAAATAAAACTAAACATGAGAACGCAAAAACACACGCCTTCAAAATAAACTAACATAAGAAACCACAAAATAAAACTAAACATGAGAAACAAAACACACGCCTTCAAAATAAAAACTAAACATGAGAACCAAAACACACGCCTTCAAAATAAAACTAAACATGAGAACACCAAAACAACTAAAATAAACAAAAACATAAGAACAAACAAAACACAACACACGCACTTCAAAATAAAACTAAACATAAGAACACCAAAACACACGCCTTCAAAATAAAACTAAACATAAGAAACAAAACAACTACGACTTCAAAATAAAACTAAACATAAGAACACCAAAACAACTACGCCTTCAAAATAAAACTAAACATAAGAACACAAAAACACACGCCTTCAAAATAAAACTAAACATAAGAACACCAAAACCACTACGACTTCAAAATAAAACAAACAAAGACACCAACACTACGCCTCAAAAATAAAACTAAACATAAGAACACCAAAACAACTACGACTTCAAAATAAAACTAAACATAAGAACACCAAAACAACTACGACTTCAAAATAAAACTAAACATAAGAACATGAAAAAAACAACACTTTCAAAATAAAACTAAACACATTAAAAAAACATATAAATTTCAGTTTTCGATTTTGTGTTTAAATGAAAAATGGAAAAAACGGGTAACGGACTAAACCAGGACTAAAACAGGACTAAAAAAGGACTAAAACAGGTCTGAGACCAGACAGGAACCAGACCAGGACCAGACCAGTCCTGGTTTAGTCCGTTTTCCGTTTTTTCCATTTTTCATTTAAACACAAAAAAATTTTAAAAAAAAATCATTATCTCTTTTTTTGTTTTTTTTGTTGTTGTTTTTTTGAGACAAATAATGAAGAAAATTGTTGTTTTTTTTATTTTCTTATTTCTGGTTTTATTTTGAAAAGCGAATAAACGCCTGACACGCAGATTTATCGTCCACACGGCGCTTTATTGTGAAATCTCCAAAAGGTAAACACACAAAAGCTGGACCTGGACTCGGTGAATTACAACACGAGTCTGTAAAAACCAAACGCTCTTCGTGTGCGCTGGCCCCGTGTGCGCTGGCCCCGTGTGCGCTGGCCCCGTGTGCGCTGGCCCCGTGTGCGCTGGCCCCGTGTGCGCTGGCCCCGTGTGCGCTGGCCCCCGTGTGCGCTGGCCCCGTGTGCGCTGGCCCCGTGTGCGCTGGCCCCGTGTGCGCTGGCCCCGTGTGTGTGAAATGTGATTAGACCGGAGAATGTGGTGAAGTCATCTGAAAGTCAAAGCGCTTTCACACACGCTCACTCCGTTTGTCGTTTTGGTGCGTTTTTCACTCCCTCCAGAGCCGCAGCCGCCCTGGGACAGACGGGCAGAACACAGGACGGCCGGCAAAATATCGAAACTCTGATCATAATCGATACTAAAACTAGAATCAGGACTAGAGCCTCATTTTTCACAGGAATCGATACTAAAAGAGACAGACTGACAGAACAGAGCCAGGACTAAACCAGGACTGAACCAGGTCTAAACCAGGCCTAAACTAGGTCTAAACTGGGACTAAACTAGGTCTAAACCAGGTCTAAACTAGGACTAAACCAGGACTAAACCAGGACTGAACCAGGTCTAAACCAGGACTGAACCAGGACTGAACCAGGTCTAAACTAGGTCTAAACTGGGACTAAACTAGGTCTAAACCAGGTCTAAACTAGGACTAAACTAGGTCAAAACTAAACCAGGTCTAAAGGTCCAAGAAACTCCAAACTAGGACTAAACCAGGCCTAAACTAGGACTAAACTAGGACTGAACCAGGTCTAAACCGGGGCTAAACCAGGTCTAAACTTGGACTAAACCAGGACTAATCCAGGTCAAAACGAGGTCTAAACTAAGACTAAACCGGGAATAAACCATGTCTACACCAGGACTAAACTTGGACTAAACCAGGACCAATGGTAGAATTACAGTATTTAAGACGACATTAGTTTTGTCAAAAGTATCGAAAACCAAATCCTCATCGATACTAAACAAGAATCGAAAAACGAGATCCTCTTTTTCTGCAGGTCTGGATCGAAAAAAAGTCCCACTGACAGAACAGAGACAATTCACACAATTCACACAATTCACACAATTCACACAATTCACATTCACACAACACATTCACACAGACATACACACAGCACATTCACACAGGACATTCACACAGCACATTCACACAACACATTCACACAGGACATTCACACAACACATGCACACAACACATTCACAAGGCACATTCACACAGAACATTCACACAACAACACATGCACACAGCACATTCACACAGCACATTCACACAACACATGCACACACACATTCACACAGGACATACACACAGCACATTCACACAGCACATTCACAGCACATTCACACAGCACATTCACACAACACATTCACACAGCACACAACAGCACACAGCACATTCACACAGCACATTCACACAACACATACACACAGCACATTCACACAGCACATTCACACGGCACATTCACACAACACATTCACACAGGACATTCACACAGCACATGCACACAGCACATTCACACAGTGTGTCAGGATGTTATCAGTGTGTCAGGGTGTGAGCAGTGTGTTGGGGGGGTCTGTAGTGTGTCGGGGGTGTTAGTAATGTGTCGGGTGTTATCAGTGTGTTGGAGGTGTTAGTAGTGTGTCGGGGTGTTAGTAGTGTGTCGGGGGTGTTAGTACTGTGCCGGGGTGTTATCAGTGTGTCGGGGTGTTAATAGTGTGTCGGGTGTTACCTGTGCGGTTCAGGTGTTAGTAGTGTGTCGGGGGTGTTAGGAGTGTGTCGGGTGTTAGCAGTGTGTCGGGGTGTTAGTAGTGTGTCGGGGGTGTTAGTAGTGTGTCGGGGTGTTAGTAGTGTGTCGGGTGTTACCTGTGCGGTTGGGGTGTTATCAGTGTGTCGGGGGTGTTAGTAGTGTGTCGGGGTGTTAGTAGTGTGTCGGGGTGTTAGTAGTGTGTCGAGGTGTTGGTAGTGTTTCGGGGTGTTAGTAGTGTGTCGGGGGGGTTCGTAGTGTGTCGGGGTGTTAGTAGTGTGTCGGGGTGTTAGTAGTGTGTCGGGGTGTTAGTAGTGTGTCAGGGTGTTAGTAGTGTGTCGAGGTGTTGGTAGTGTGTCAGGGTGTTAGTAGTGTGTCAGGGGTGTTATCAGTGTGTCGGGGTGTTAGTAGTGTGTCAGGGTGTTATCAGTGTGTCGGGGGTGTTCGTAGTGTGTCGGGGTGTTATCAGTGTGTCAGGTGTTACCTGTGCGGTTGGGGTGTTAGTAGTGTGTCAGGGTGTTAGTTGTGTCGGGGTGTTAGTAGTGTGTCGGGGGGTGTTAGTAGTGTGTCGGGGGTGTTCGTAGTGTGTCGGGGGTTAGTAGTGTGTCGGGGTGTTCGTAGTGTGTCGGGGTTAGTCAGTGTGTCGGGGTGTTAGTAGTGTGTCGGGGTGTTTAGTAGTTGTGTCGGGGTGTTAGTAGTGTGGGTGTTCGTAGTGTGTCGGGGTGTTAGTAGTGTGTCAGGGTGTTAGTAGTGTGTCGGTGTTTAGGTGTGGGTTTAGTAGTGTGTCAGGGTGTTAGTAGTGTGTCAGGGGTGTTAGTAGTGTGTCGGGGTGTTAGTAGTGTGTCAGGGTGTTATCAGTGTGTCGGGGTGTTCGTAGTGTGTCGGGGTGTTATCAGGTGTGTCAGGTGTTACCTGTGCGGTTGGGGTGTTAGTAGTGTGTCAGGGTGTTAGTAGTGTGTCGGGGTGTTAGTAGTGTGTCGGGGGGGTTTCGTAGTTGTCGGGGGGGTTCGTGTGTCGGGGGTGTCGTAGTGTGTCGGGTGTTAGTAGTGTGTCGGGGGTGTTATCAGTGTGTCGGGGGTGTTCGTAGTGTGTGGGTCAGTGTGTCAGGGTGTTATCAGTGTGTCGGGGTGTTCGTAGTGTGTCGGGGTGTTATCAGTGTGTCGGGGTGTTATCAGTGTGTCGGGGTTAGTAGTGTGTCGGGGTGTTCGTAGTGTGTCGGGGGTGTTAGAGTGTGTCGGGGTGTTATCAGTGTGTCGGGGGGTTCGTAGTGTGTCGGGGTGTTATCAGTGTGTCGGGTGTTACCTGTGCGGTCGGGGCACAGCTCACAGTCGTTGATGCCCCAGGCTTTCCCGATGCCCCTGCAGCACGTCTCTCTGCTCCGGAGCCCAGGGAGAGGAGAACTGCACTACACACACACAGGGAGGGCATCTGACACAATCTGACACACACACACACACACACACACACACACACACAGGGAGGGCATCTGACACAATCTGACACACACACACACACACACAGGGAGGGCATCTGACACAATCTGACACACACACACACACAGGGAGGGCATCTGACACAATCTGACACACACACACACACAGGAGGGCACACAACAATCTGACACACACACACACACAGGGAGGGCATCTGACACAATCTGACACACACACACACACACAGGGAGGGCACTGACACAATCTGACACACACAACCACACACGGGAGGGCATCTGACACACACACACACACATCTGACACACTGACACACACACACACACACACACACACAGGGAGGGCATCTGACACAATCTGACACACACACACACACACAGGGCATCTGACACAATCTGACACACACACACACACACAGGGAGGGCATCTGACACAATCTGACACACACACACACACACACACGGGGAGGGCATCTGACACAATCTGACACACACACACACACACAGGGAGGGCATCTGACACAATCTGACACACACACACACACACAGGGAGGGCATCTGACACACAGGAAGGGCACCTGACACACACGGGGAGGGGACCTGACACACACGAGAGGGCACCTGACACACACGGGGAGGGACCTGACACACACGGAGAGGGCACCTGGGAGGGCACCTGACACGGGGACCTGACACACACGGGGAGGGCACCTGACACACACGGGGAGGGCACCTGACACACACGGGGAGGGACCTGACACACGGGGAGGGCACCTGACACACACGGGGAGGGCACCTGACACACACGGGGAGGGGACCTGACACACGGGGAGGGCACCTGACACACACGGGGAGGGCACCTGACACACGGGGAGGCACCTGACACACACGGGGAGGGCACTGGCACACGGGGAGGGCACCTGACACACACGGGGAGGCACCTGACACACACGGGGAGGGCACCTGGCACACACGGGGAGGGGACCTGGCACACGGGGAGGGCACCTGGCACACGGGGAGGGGACCTGGCACACGGGGAGGGCACCTGACACACGGGGAGGGCATCTGGCTCACCTGGCCCTGCTGGACTTCTCTGAAGCAGTACTTGAATCCTGATTGGTGGGTGTAAGTCCCGCCCCCTGAGACGGTCTGAGCCTGGACGCCCCTGGACACCGGCGCCGGAAACCCCGCTGACCCCGACGTGACCCCCGAGCGCACCTGTGACATCATCACGCCACTCAGTGACATCATCACGTCAGTGACATCATCAGAGCACCCACAGGTCACCCTGAACCAGGACTAAACCAGGACTAAACCAGGACTGAACCAGGACTAAACCAGGACTAAACCAGGACTAAACCAGGACTAAACCAGACTAAACCAGGACTAAACCAGGACCCAGGACTAAACCAGGACTGAACCAGGACTAAACCAGGACTAAACCAGGACTAAAACCAGGACTAAACAGGACTAAACCAGGAAACCAGGACTAAACCAGGACTAAACCAGGACTAACCAGGACTAAACCAGGACTAAACCAGGACTAAACCAGGACTAAACCAGGACTAAAACCAGGACTAAACCAGGTAAACCAGGACTAAACCAGGACTAAACCAGAGACTAAACCAGGACTAAACCAGGACTAAACCAGGACTGAACCAGGACTAAACCAAGACTAAACCAAGACTAAACCAGGACTAAAAAAGGACTAAACCAAAACTAAACCAGGACTAAACCAAGACTAAACCAAGACTAAACCAGGACTAAAAAAGGACTAAACCAGAACTAAACCAGGACTAAACCAGGACTAAACAGGACTAAAACAGGACTAAACCAGGATTAAACCAGGTCTAAACCAGGTCTAAACCAGGACTGAACCAGGACTAAACCGAGTCTAAACCAGGACTAAACCGGGACTGTTCCGGGACTGAACCGGGACTAAACCAGATCTAAACCAGGACTAAACCAGGACTAAACCAGGACTAAACCGGGACTGTTCTGGGACTGAACCGGGACTAAACCAGATCTAAACCGGGTCTAAACCGGGTCTAAACCAGGACTAAACCAGATCTAAACCAGGACTAAACCGGGACTAAACAAGGACTAAACCAGAACTGAACCAGGACTGAACCGGGTCTAAACTGGGTCTAAACCAGGACTAAACCAGGACTAAACCAGATCTAAACCAGGACTAAACCGGGACTAAACCGGGACTAAACAGGGACTAAACCAGGACTAAACCGGGTCTAAACCAGGACTAAACCAGGACAGAACCGGGACTGAACCAGGACTAAACCAGAACTAAACCAGGACTAAACCAGGTCTAATCCAGTAAAACCCAGTGTTTCACCTTGAGGACCTGGTGCACTTTGACGCTGGCCTCTGGGGGGTGCTGGACTCTCACCTTCACCATGGGAGGACTGGGAGCTGCACACAGAAGAAGAGTCAGGGCGCGTTCACACCCACAGCTCCGTTATTTGGTCCACACCAGGAAATAAAATCGTTTTTCTGTATCCTAGTCTCCGGTGTTTTCCTTTCACACCTGCAAACCCAATCTGCTCTCGACGTCCGAGCGGGATTCAGTTTTCAGTCCTGCTCCTGCCGCAAGTCCCACAGGATGACGACGTTCTCTTTCTTAAGCTCTAAACACCGAGAAGGGGGAAGGAATTGTCTAAAATGGGCGCGAGATTAGACCATGTCCGCAAATTTAGGCTGATTAAAATGTTTTTATTAACGCCAAATACTTTTTTTTAAACATGTGTGGACTCCCCTTGTTCGAACCCTGAGTCAGTTCGTAACAGTCGGGTCCTTCAGGGCTCTAGTCTGCACTTGTGGAGATGAAGGAGGAAGGACTTGAGGTGTGTTTGAAGTGTTGATGATTCGTGTGTCTGCAGGTCACATTTGTTCTCGCAGCTGTGTTCTTCATCGACACACGAGCCGAGTGACACCGCTGAGAGTTGTTTGTCTGTTTCAGTTCAGGTTGAGCCCAGACTCTCTGACAGGGCTGACAGGTGCTCCACACCGGACACAAGGGCCAAATGTGAGAGACACTGAACCCCCCGTCTATCCCCGGAGGGAGAGGGGAGTTGGGTTCCTGTGGGTGTCAGTGCCCACCCCTGTAGACTGTCAGGTGACCCTGTGGGTTAAAACACTGGCACTGCGCTCCACAGGGCAAAGAGCAGCCGTCGCCTGATCGCGCTTTACAGACTCCCTGCTGCACAGGCTCAGGGTCCTGTCCGTCCAGACGTCCTCGAGGGCTTGAAGTCCCACGTTTGGCCTCAGGTTGAGGTTCGATCTGTGTCTTTGTCACAAACTGTAGGATGGAATAGTTGGTTTGGACCATGGATCTATGAAATATCTGGACGTGTTTCTGTTTGTTTCTTCCTCCAGTTGATGTAGAGACTCTCACTGAGCTGAGAGGAGTTTTCTCACAGAGGCAAAATAATCACAAACTGCTCGTCCTTCAGTTGTCTTAAAAAACACTTTATAACCATTCCTCTGGCTCTGCTCCTCTCGCTCTGATTGGTCAAAACGATCACATGATACACAGACCACACTCTCGTGTGTCGCCGTGTGTCTGCGGGAGAAAAGACTCTACTGCACCTGCTCAGTCGGCCCAGAACCACAGAAGAACCTCACCGGGCTAAAGGAGAATCTGGAGTCATGAGACACTGAGCTCGGCCCACTGACTTGACTGGATGGACATTTTGAAACCCGCGGGCTTGGTCTGGAGCTTCTGTCTGTGGTTTGGACCTGAGTTGGCGTCTCTCCAGAGGGACCGACTAGAGTTTGGCATCTGGTGTGGAGTCGAGTGAACTGAGACCACCTTTTGTGTGACGTCTCGGTCTGTTTGAGTTAGAGCAGATCTGAGTGCGACTGAAGCTTTCACACAAACCGAAACCAAAAAACAACAACAAAACCAACCAAAAACCACCAAAAACCACCAAAAACCACCCAGCTCAGAGCTTCTGGAGCTAATGGAACGTCTGGAGACAGAACCTGGGTCTGGGAGGGCATCTGACTCACCTCCGGCGCTCTGAGTCTCCTGCTTTGGTCCGAGGGGCAGGACAAACTCGGAGCGCGTGAGATTGGCTGAGAGCAGAGAGGAGGGCGGGCTGTGATTGGAGGAGGCGTCGTGGTGGGCGGGGCCGGTGGACGGTGCGTTCGAGGATCCCGGGGGAACCGGGATTTGGCAGAATTTCCCGGTGAAGTTTGGTGGGCACAGACAGCGGTCCTTCTGCAGACACACCCCCCCGTTCTTACACAGCAGCGGGCACAGGTCTGGAAACACACAAACACACAACACACACACACACACACACACACACACACACACACACACACACACACACACACACACACACACACAACACACACACACACACACACACACACACACACACACACACACACACACACACACACACACACACACACACACACACACACACACACACACAAAAACACTTTCAGAAAACTCACATTTACACAAAAAAGAGAAAATTACATCAACAAAACTGAAAAACAAGAAACTGTTTTATTAACCAAAAGTCCCACGTCACACAGACGTGACTCTGTGAGTTTTAAGACGAGTTCTAATGTCTTTAACTTCTTGGTTCTAATGTCGTTCCTCCTCAAAAACAAACCTGCACTTGTGTTTTGTTTCAGAATCTGTGTGTCGTTCGTTCATTTGTTTTTCCAAATAAAATGAAAAATAAGAAAACAAAAAAACAACAGTTTTCTTCATTATTTGTCTCCAAAACAAAAATGAAAAAACAGATAATGATTCATGTTTTCAGTTTTCGGTTTTGTGTTTAAATGAAAAATGGGGGGAAAAAAACAGACTGAACCAGGACTAAACCATTTTCAGTCCTGGTCTGGTCCCAGTTTGAGTCCCAGTCTGAGTCCCAGCCTCGGTCCCGGCCTCGGTTCTGGTCTCGGTCCGGTCCCGGTCTGGTTTCAGTCTCAGTCCCGGTCTCAGTGCTGGTCTGGTTTCAGTCTCAGCTCTGGTCTGAGTCCCAGACTGGTCAAGGTCTTGGTGCCAGTCTCGGTCCCGGTCTGGTCCCGGTCTCAGTCCCGGTCTGGTCCCGGTCTCAGTCCCGGTCTGGTCCCTGTCTCAGTCCCAGTCTCGGTCCCGGTCTCGGTCCTGATCTCAGTCCCAGTCTCGGTCCCGGTCTCGGTCCTGATCTCAGTCCCAGTCTCGGTCCCGGTCCCGGTCCTGATCTCAGTCCCGGTCTCAGTCCCGGTCTGGTCCCTGTCTCAGTCCCGGTCTCAGTCCCGGTCTGGTCCCTGTCTCAGTCCCAGTCTCGGTCCCGGTCTCGGTCCTGATCTCAGTCCCGGTCTCAGTCCCGGTCTCAGTCCTGGTCTCAGTCCGGTCTCGGTCCTGGTCTCAGTCCCGGTTTCAGTCTCAGTCCCGGTCTCAGTCTGGTCTGAGTCCCTGGTCTCAGTCTGGTCTCAGTCCCGGTCTCAGTCCGGTCTCAGTCTCAGTCTCAGTCTCGGTCTCAGTCCCGGTCTCAGTCCCGTCTCAGTCCGGTCTCAGTCCGGTCTCAGTCTCGGTCTCAGTCCCGGTCTCCAGTCCGTCTCAGTCTCGGTCTCAGTCTCGGTCTCAGTCCCGGTCTCAGTCCCGGTCTCAGTCCCGGTCTCAGTCCCGGTCTCAGTCCCGGTCTCAGTCTCTCAGTCTCTCAGTCCCGTCTCAGTCCCGGTCTCAGTCCCGTCTCAGTCCCGGTCTCAGTCTCGGTCTCAGTCCCAGTCTCAGTCTCAGTCTCAGTCCCGGTCTCAGTCCCGGTCTCAGTCCCGGTCTCAGGTCTCAGTCCCGTCTCAGTCCGGTCGGTCTCTCAGTCCCGGTCTCAGTCGGTCTCAGTCCCGGTCTGAGTCCCGGTCTCAGTCCCGGTCTCAGTCTCGGTCTCAGTTCTCGTCTCAGTCCGGTCTCAGTCCCGGTCTCTGATTGGTCGACACGACGCGTCCGACACAAAAAGTTCCGCATTTTCGACTTCTGACGCCGACGCCCCAGACCCGCGTCCACATCGACTTTACGTTTAAACTGGACGATCTGAACAAACTTTTACACAAAATAACTGAGTAAAATCTACGTAAAAATACTCTGGGCGATATATCGATACAGCAGCACACGATATCGATCTTATATTTTTTGAGTTCGAGTTTTTAGAGTTTAAAGTTAAAGATTTAGACAAAAATGAGTGAAACAAACACAAAAAGTGGAGCTCCGTTTGTGACGAGGAAACGACATCAGAGCTCTGAGACTTAAAGGTTGGATAGAGGATTTTTTTGTTTTGTTTCAAATTGTCAGTGAAAGTTTAAAATAGCATTACAGAGACGTAGCAGCTTTGTAATTATGATGACCAAAAAAAAAAGAATGAAAATCTATCAACTGTGGACGTGTTGAGGCCAAATAAACATCAGCCAATAGAAAACGAGGCTTCCTCTCTTTCTATTGGTTGTTAGGTCGTCAATCAAACTCCCTATGTTTCTAGTGTAACTGACTCGCCGGCGCGCAGGGATTATGTGGTTTACACAGCGGTTCTTAGAGGCTTTTTCAAACTGTAGCTTCCTCGTAGTTCACACAAAGTTTGGCGCGACGGCGGACGAGAATCCACGACCAGTTCGCCGCAAAAGAAAGTCTGTTTTTGAGGTCGCTGAAAGAAGGAAAGAAGAAGGGGAAAAGGAGCGAAGCCAAACTGAGGTGATTCTTGGAGATCTCTTCCAGCGATGGCGCAACTGAAGCAGACGAAGGGTCTAAAAACTGATGCGTCGGTCGCTAAAATATTTCTACACAGGTCATTTCAACAGTAATTCTGAACGCGCACTGGATGTAAACAAGTGTGATTTCTAGAGTAAAGAGGCGGGAGGAGATGTTTCTACTGAGGCTGTGGAGGAGGAAGGTGGTGTCACACATGCACAACATTTGAAAAAGAACTGTCGCTGTATTTCTTTTCCCTTAAAAAAATCCTCTATACAACCTTTAAAGGTAAACATCTCCTCCATCTGACTCTAGAAATCACGCTTGTTTCCATCCAGTGCGCGTTCACAACTACTGTTGAAGTGACCTGTCAGTTTTTAGATCCTTCGTCTGCTTCATTCGCTCCGTCGCTGGAAGGAATCTCCAAGAATCACCTCAGTTTGTCTTCGCTCCTTTTCCCCTTCTCTTCGTCTTTCAGCGACCTCAAAAACGGACTTTCTTTTGCGGCGAACTGGTCGTGGATTCTCGTCCGCCGTCGCGACAAACTTTGTGCGAACTGCGAGGAAGCTACAGTTTAGAAAAATCCTCTAAGAACCGCTGCATAAACCACGTAATCCCTGCGCGCCGGCGAGTCAGTTAAGGGTCGTTCACACCAAAGCGTCAAATCGTCCACTTTCAATGTAAAGTCGATGTGGACGCGCGACTAGAGCGTCCAAGGCGTCAGCGTCAAGAAGTTGAAAATGCTGAACTGTCAACCAATCAGGGACGAGTATCCAGAGACGCAGCGACGTTATTATCAGGAAGAAAAACCCGAGAACCAGAACGAGAACCACAAACATGAGCCGATCGTGAGGAATACACCAGGACTAAACCAGGACTAGATCGGGACTAAACCAGGACTAGACCGAGACTAGACCGAGACTAGACTGAGACTAGACCGAGACTAGACTGAGACTAGACCGAGACTAGACTGAGACTAGACTGAGACTAGACCGAGACTAGACGAGACTAGACTGAGACTAGACCGAGACTAGACCGAGACTAGACTGAGACTAGACCGAGACTAGACTGAGACTAGACCGAGACTAGAGAGACTAGACTGAGACTAGACCTAGACTGAGACTAGACCGAGACTAGACTAGACTGAGACTAGACCGAGACTAGACTGGGACCAGACCGGGACTACACCGACACTAGACCGGGACTAAACAAGAACTAGACCCTGAATAGACCGAGATTAAACCACGACTAGACCGGGACTAGACCGGTATTAGACCGGACTAGACTGGTATTAGACCAGGACTAGACCGGTATTAGACCAGGACTAGACCGGTATTAGACCTGGACTAGACCGGGACTGATCCAGTGTCATTAGCGGACTATAAATATATATACTCCCCAGTCGACGACCCGATCTCCTCCACTGATGTTTTATGTCATAAAAACACTCAATCAGTCTGGTCTGACATTGTTTCGGGAAAAGTCCAGGACCGGGCTCTTGTTTCCAGGGCAACGGACACGCGTCAAGTATTTTTGTCCCGTTCGTCCACGGCGTCAAAGACTCGAGCGTCGGGGGCGTCTGAACTCAAATGCAAAGGCTCCAAAGAGACGTCAAAGCGTTTTTTGATGCTTTGGTGTGAACGAACCTTTACACTAGAAACGCAGGAAATTTGATTGACAACCTAACAGCCAATAGAAAATGAGGTAGCCTTGTTTTCTATTGGCTGATGTTTATCAGGCCTCACTACGTCCACAGTTGATGGATTTTCATTCTTTTTTTTTTTTTTTTGGTCATCTTAATTACAAAGCTGCTGTGTCTCTGTAATGGTGTTTTAAACTTTCACTGACAATTTGAAACTAAAAAAAATAAAAAATCTTCCATACAACCTTTAAAGCTCACAGAGTCACTTTTGTGTGTGACAGGAGTTTTATTCATTCCGGGAAAAGTCTCCGCAGAGTTTGGACGCGTGAAGATCGATCGATGTAAAAACAAAAGTGACTTCAGCGGAGCCCAGACTAAACAAACACCTGGAAAATGAACTCACAGCAAAATGTGTCATGAGAAAAACCCACGAGTCTTTCACAGCACGTTTACAGTTTACGCTTCGAGTCGCTCCCCCCCAGAGCCTTGCCCAAGGACACGCAGACACCGGGCACAGCTGGAACCTTCAGGAACCTTCAGGATCGGTTTGACCTTTGACCTCCGGCTCAGGGTCACTGGGGTTTGGAGTTTGTTGCCAAAATGAAAAAACTGATAATGAAACGATTTTTCAGATTTTGTGTTTAAATGAAAAATGGAAAAAACGGAAAACAGACTGAACCAGAATTAAACCAGGACTAAAACAGGACTAAACCAGGACTGAACCAGGACTGAACCAGGACTGAACCAGGACTGAACAAGGACTAAACTGTTTTCAGTCCCGGTCTGGTCCCAGTCTAAGTCCTGGTCTCAGTCCCAGTCTCAATCATGGTCTGGTCCTAGTCTTGTCCCAGTCTAAGTCCAGGTCTCAGTCCTGGTCTGGTCCCGGTCTGGTCCTGGTCTCAGTCCCGGTCTCAATGACGGTCTGGTCGTGGTCTAAGTCCT